TTTCGTTTCCAACGCTTACATAGTTATCCGTATGGTCTTAAAAAATAAAAGCCCGTCGGATACGAAGAACGTATATATGCGGCCATCGAAATATTTACGTAGAGATAGGGAGATACATGTATCTTCTATCGTAAGCGTTCCGTTCACGGAAAACACATTATTTCATAAGCGCGCAGATCCAAAAGGATTAATAGTTTATAGAAATAAAATTGGAACAAGAAGGAGAGAGAAGGAGATAAAGAGAGAGAAAGAGAGAGAGAGAGAGAGAGAGAGAGAGAGAACGATGCAAATAAGTGAGATATATATATATTATTATTAAGTATTGTTGTTGAACGATTTGACTTTAGCGGGCTTTAAATCTTTACTGATTAAATTTAACCCCGAAATAATGAAATTAATATAAGTGAATTGCGTCGAATGTAAACTGAATTTATTTGTCCTAATCGTTGCAATGTTACTTGCTAATCATTGTCAAAATGAACTTCCATTATTTTTTTCTTTTTTATTTCATCTACACAATAGATATTAAACAATAATAATAATAATAATAATAATAATAATAATAATCATAATAATAATAATAATAATAATAATAATAATAATAATAATAATAATAATAATAATAATAATAATAATAATAATAATAATAATAATAATATCTAATTTTGAAGTTCTCTCGATCTTATTGATTTCTAAAAAAATAAAAATAAAAATAAAAAAAAAAAAAAAAAAAAAAAAAAAAATAACGAATAAATAAATACAAAAATATTTAATCTATATAAGCATTAAAAGTATCTAGTGATAATGATTTTCTTGAAACGCGACAAGATAATCTTTTAAAAGTTAAGAAATTATATTAATCGATCGTATATTGAATAAAAATGTTCCGTAATAAATTAGTTTTAGATGAACAAATTAATACATTAATGTCATCGTAAATATTCTTTTCTTTTATATATATATATATATATATATATATATATATATATATATATATATATATATATATATATATATATATAAATAATATCTTCATTTACGATATGACTTGTTTGAAAAGTATAAAAATGTATTTTGGAAAAATAAATTTATTGTTCGTTAGTATGGCAATACAACATCGAGATATTCTTAACTAAGAAATACGATCGTATCATTTCAGAGCCACCGCCATCGGTATCACCGCAAGACCGACATCAATGATCGATCTCACCCTCTTTCTCTCTCAACTTCTCCCTCTCCCTCACTCTTTCACACAACCATCCTCTTACTCGCTTACCCCCACCCTTCGTCTCTCCCCCTCCATCTCTCCCAGTCTCTCTCCATTTTTTGATCTTCCTCTTTTTCACGACTTTCAAGATCCGTGACCGCAAGAGCTATGAGTGTTTAAAGAGAACGTGTATATGTATGTATGTGTGTGTATGTATGTGTATGTGTATGTTTGAGAGAGATAGAGAGAGAGAGAGAGAGAGAGAGAGAGAGAGAGAGAGAGAGAGAGAGAGAGATCGTAATCCAAACTAGGACATCGTCGCCGACGAATTCGAGTTAGCTCGAACTAGTATAAGCGGTGGTGTACGTTCGTGTTTGGGGGTTGAAAGTAGAGTGAGAAGCAAATGTTGGCTGCTAGCTGCTAGCTGCTAGCTGCGGGTAACGGGAAAGAGTCAACGACTAAGGATTTTCATTTGAGAGAAAGAGATAAAGAGGGGGGGGTTGGAAGGGAAAAAAATATTGTAATAGAAGAACACAGGAGGGAGAGAGAAAGGGAGAGAGAAAGGAAGAGAGAGAGAGAGAGAGAGAGAGAGAGAGAGAGAGAGAGAGAGAGAGAGAGAGAGAGAGGCGATCATCGACGGTGGTAACTAAAAAGGGTAAAAGCGGGAGACTAAAGAGGGATATAGGGCTCTAACCTCGTAGGGGAAGATTGTTTTCATTCGGTTAGAAGAGAGAAGGGAGAAGAGAGAAGGATGAACGGGGAAAGAGGGGTTCCAATTGAAAAGAAGCGAGAACCGAAGAAGAACCACGGCTCGAAAGCCGGCTAAGTGTCAGAGGGACAAGTAGTGGGGTGATGATTTATTTTTTTTCTCTCTTTTTCTTTCTTTCTTTCTTTCTTCTTCTTCTTCGTCTTTTTTTTTTCCTCCTCTAGACCTCACCCTCACGCCCTCTGCCCTCCCCCACCCTACCTTCTTTCTCTATCTCTCTGTCTGTTTGTTAGTTTGTCTTTCACAAGCATACACACGCGCATACACACGCGCATACACACACACACACACACACACACACACACACACACACCTCTCTTCTTTTCTCTCGTGTTTTCTCTAGAGACCAGCGAAAGACAGAGGAATGAAATAGGAAGCGATGGACTACCGTTAACGCCAGGAGGCCGCGCCGTCGTGATAAATGATAAATGATACGTGATAAATGATTTTAAAGAAAAAAGGAGAAGAGAGAGCGACAGAAAGAAAGAGAAAAAGAGAGAGATAGAGAGAGAGAGAGAGGGAGGGAGAGGGAAATAAATAAAAAAAAAAGAGAGAGAGAGAGAGAGAGAGAGAGAGAGAGAGAGAGAGAGAGAGAGAGAGAGAGAGAAAGGATCGTTACTCGGATGATCGATGCACGAGCTACGTAAATTCGTTGGGGGTGGTAGGAAAGACGCGAGTACACGATATTATAGATTATTTCCGGTACACACCGTGGCTCGTCTTTTATCGTGAGGCTCACGGTAGACGGGAGGAATGGTGGAGGAAGAGGAGGTAAAAGAGAAAGAGGAGTAAGAGGTGGAGGAATAGGAGTAGGAGGAGGTGGAGGAGGAGGAGGAGGAGAAAGAAGAGGATGAGGATGAAAGAGGTGGAGGCGGCGGTAGCGGTGGTGGCAATGCTAGTGGTGGTAGTGGTGGTGGTAGTAGTAGTGGTAGAAAGAGAGAAAGAGAGAAAGAGGGGAAAAGGACGAAGAGAAGAGAGGGTGAGTTGGTTGGTTGGTTGGTTGGTTGGCTGGTTGGCTGGTTGGTTGGTTGGTTGGTTGGTTGGTTGGTTGGTTGGTAAAGGAGATAATTTATCGTTCTTCGTTCTCGCCGATCGTGCCGGCGCTCGGTTCAAACGTTGCAAATAAAACAGATTAATCCTTCGGAGAGATGTAAATTGCAAATTGTCCGCGAGCGTGTTCGAGGGAAGGGAGGGAGAGGGGAGGAGTAAGAGGAGGAGGAGGAGGGGGCGATATTATTACGGTTAATTAGGGAGTCGCGAATAACCAATAACTTTTCATTTTTCTTCCAATTAACGTCAGTTGGGATTCACGAAAAAAAAATGGGATAGATAGATAGGTAGAGAGAGAAAGAATGAGAGAGAGAGAGAGAGAGAGAGAGAGAGAGAGAGAGAGAGAAAGAGGGAAAGAGAGGGAGATATTAAAAAGAAAGAGAAATGTATAATAACGCGTTACATTAGATTCGTTCACAATTTGTCGCTGTATCGGACTTTTGTACCCTCCTCGGGGATTCATTTCCTATCTTAACTACCCTTCTTTCTCGACCCTTTTCCTCCCCTTTTCTTTTCCTCAACTTCTTACTTTTATAACAACTCTATTCATCAATTAACAGTTAAAACTGCGACAATTTCTGTCAAGTAGTTTTCTCCCTCTTTGATCATTCCCGAACGTTCTCTTTCTTTTCCTTTTTCATATCTTCTTTTTGTTGTTTTATATATATATATATATATATATATATATATATATATATATATATATATATAGATGGATAGATAAACATAAAAATTTATTAATTACTTGCCGATTATGATAAAATAAATAGGAAAATGTTATTCGATTCGATCTAAGTGGATATATAATCCGACGGTAAAAATTCTTTTTATATCTATTTATTATACATACATATATATATATATATATATATATATATATATATATATATATATTCATGTATAAAAGTAGTATACTGGAAACTTACTTTTTTTGAAATATCTCTTTCTAGATGAAAAATTTATTAACGAGGATTAAAAAATTTCTCTCTCTCTCTCTCTCTTTCTTTTTCGATGACGGCACGATGAAAGTACTCTTTCCAGTTTTATTTATATTTTCTTTTTCTTTTTCCTTTTTCTTCTTCTTCCTCTTTTTTCCCCCCTACCAAATAACGAACGATTCGCGAAGTGGGATGGCATCGATTTAAAATAACACGGTCGAACGAATCTTCGAAGAGCCTAATTGTAAGTATATTCGCCGCAGGTTATAAAGTAGTGGGTGGTATAAGTTGAGGTGGAATGGGATTTGGATAGGGACAGCGTATCGGCGAATGGACGCAATTTCCTGACGATTCAAGCAAGTAGTGTCCCATTGCACGAGAAGTACTTATTTTCCTTCCCTTCTTTCTTCGTTTTCCCCTTCTCTATTTCCCGAGTCTAACAACCAATACTCGATTCACGTTGGGCTTGCACCCCATTAGAATCCCTCGCCCTACGGGTACAAGGGTGAGAAATGATCGGCCGCTAATGCTAATGAATATCAGCTCGTCCCGCACGAGGCTGCGCGACAAGGGGGATGAGGGATAAGGGATGAGGGATGAAGGGGAAATTGTTTGGAGTTTCGGCTAGGCGCTATTGGCTAGTGGCAGTAAGCAGGCAAGTGTCTAGCGTGTTTGAACGAGGGCGACGACTAACTCGCTTTTAAGAAAATTGCTGACAGAAGGGTGATCGCTCGCTGTTTCCCTTAATTAGCCGAAATTACACGATTTCCCAAGCTTAAATGTCCCTTCTCCTTTCTATCTCTCTTACTCTTTCTCTCTGTCTTTCATCTCTTTTTCCCTTTCAATTCAAAGCAATCGGTTTCTCGATCTTCTTTCAAGAAAGCGAGCGTATCGTCTCGTTGAGATCTTAATTATCAAAAGTCTCCCTTTTCGTTATGACTTATCAAAATTAACTAAAATGTTACAAGGAGAAATTTATATATCTATATATTATTCATCATTATTATTATAATTATTATAATTATTAATTAAATCTCACCTGTTTATGCATCTCCACGTTGAGGCCATACGACATCTCGTAGTACTGAAACAGAAGGATCAAAGTTTAAAAGTAAATAATATCAACAATCGGATCCGTTTAATTCTTTCGAAATTTCTTTCTCTTTTCTTTTTCTATTTTCACTTTTCTTTTTCCTTTCCTTTTTTCTTTCTTTCCTGTTTTTTTTTCTTTTTTTTTTTTTTTTTTTTTTTTTTTCTTTCGAGACGAGAGACATTTATCGGCGTCAAGCGAAAAACGACGTTCCATTTTGTACGCCATCTTTAGAATTACGTTCCGTAATATCTGAAGATAAACGAAGAGAAAATTCGATCATTATCGTAACACCGAGAGAATTTAAATAGAATATTTCTTCCGCATTTTCATCCTTTTTATTTTCATTTTATTTTATTTTCATTTTATCCTTATTATTATCATTATTATTATTATTATTATTATTATTGTTATTATTATTATTATCTCTATGTACCGAGCAACATTGGAATAAGATGAAAAAGGATCATTGGGACGATCTATTATCATACCCACCCAATTGAGATAGATCAATCGTACCAATATTCTCTATCGTTTCTTTTTTTCTTTTGACACGAAATGAAAGATTCCTGTTATGTTTTAGTCGGTGCCAAGATCAATCGAGCTTAACCTCCTCGAAGATACTTTACTCGGAAAACGCGTCAGGCGTCTCTCTTTCCGTTTAAAATCTCATCTTTGCGCTATAGAAACATAATCGACAGATTAATTTACTTTTCTTCGATTCGCCGATAAAAAAATCCATGTTTTTTATGTCTTTGTGTATGTGTGTGTGTGTGTGTGTGTGTGCATGTATGTGCACATATCCTTTTATTTTCTTTTCAAGAAATATTTATCGCAATGAGAAAGCGATGTAACAAAAAAAAACTAAATTAACTCTTAAGATTACTATTTGATAGTATAATAATAATAATAATAATAATAATAATAAAAGATTATTAATAATAACACGATTATTGTTATAATAATATTAATATTAAAAATGATAATAAATGCATGAGTTTAATCAACGATTAAATCTATCGAGAATAAAACCAAAACAGTATCGGCGAAAAGTTCTTAGAACATTTTAAAAATCGATTACTCTTTCTCGAGAGAAAGATATTTAATTTTTCGTTCTTCCAATTATTCGTAAGGCTCGATTGTAATTTTGCGATCTTAGAAAAAAAAAAAAAAAAAAAAAAAAAAAAAGAGATAAAAAACAAAAAAGAAAAAAGGAAAAGAGAAAAAAGAAAAAGAAAAGAATGTAGCCTAAAAAATGTTGCATAAAGGAGTAATTCAATTTTTAAAAATGAGAATAGTAACTTTTGGATCGGCCTGTATATATAATCCCTTCTTTTATCGCGCGTTAAATTCTACAGCGCAAAAATTTGTTTAATTCACGAAAAATTTTATCGTTACGTTTAAAACGTAATCCGATGCTTGTCGGACGTGAGAATTTTCTTCTCACTCTCTCCATACGAAAAAGAAAAAAGAAAAAAGAGAGAGAAGAGAAAAGAAAAAAGAGGGGCAAAATAAATATATAAAAAAAAAAAAAAAAAAAAACAAACAAACAAAAACGAAAAGAAAAATAAACTCACTTAAACAATTTTATCACGATACGATTCGAGTTAGTTGCCAGAGTAATAAGACAGATCTTGAATGCGACGATCCACGCGAAAGTATCATTTACCAAGCACCTATTTCCATCCCCTACATTCCACCCCTTTCTCTACGTTCGCTATCTCGTGATACGATACACGAGACGAAAATAAAAAAAAACATTGGCTTGTTTAAAGTAACTTTAAGATCGAAACAGTAACTTAATAAACAATTCAATCCTATAATATATTTCTGTTGTTTCTTCTTTTTTTTTTTTTTTATACGACTATCTCATTTTTCCTTAATTATTGGATGCAAAAGAAAAACGGGAAAAAAAAAAAAGAAAGAAAGAAAGGTAAAAAGAAAAACTTGTCTAATCACAGATCTTCTTATATCTCTAAGAGAAGAAGAAAAAAGAAAAAAAGAAAAAAAAATGATAAAAAGAAAGAGAATAAAAGAGAAAAAAGGAAAGAAAAAAAATGAAGAAGAAAGGAAGAAAGAAAGAAAGAAAGAAAGAAAGAAAGAAAAAAAAAAAAGAAATTTAACGAGCTACATGTACTGATGATATTTCAACGATATATGTGTAGTGTATGCGTGTATGTTTGTGTGTGTGTGTGTGCGTGTTTTATTTTAATAAACAAGAAAAAGAACAAGAAATATCTCGCGAATCTCGTGAAGTAGTATCTCGTTCGAGAGCATCGAGAACTTCGATCGAATTTTCCCCCCTCCGCCCTCGACCCCTTAGTTCAGCACCGCTCGACCGCTCCCCATTCTCCTGGTTCGTCGTTCCCCGAAAGTCTAGATGAAACGGGGAACGGACCATCGAATATATATATATATACACATATACGTAAGTGCGCGCGAGCACGATCGTAAATCGGTTAGTGGCTGTCACTTAGCACACCGCGTGTCCGCCTTTAACCGCGCTTGTTCCAGGACGAATGGCTTCAGGGGGTTGGTGGTTGGTTGCCTGTGCCTGCCTGCTTCTGGCGAGTCTGAGAGAAGGCGTATGTATGTATACCTACGTTACTCTACGAAAGCATATGTATGTATGTATGTATGTATGTATGTATATATATATATGTATGGACGTATGTATGTATGTATGTATGTACGTATGTATGTACGTATGTATGTACGTATGTATGTACTTACACGGGTCGACATTTACCAGATAGATAGATAGATAGATAGATAGATAGATAGATAGATAGATAGATAGATAGATAGAGAGAGAGAGAGAGAGAGAGAGAGAGAAAGAGAGAGAAAGAGAGAGAGAGAGATCGATAGCATCGGCTACGGAAATATACCAGCTTAATAATGCAGTCGATAAGCACCACGATGGGAAGAAAGAAATGGCTTGTGAGAGGGTTTCAGAAGTGGGGTGAGGGAAGAAGGGAGGAAGAGAGAAAGGGGGAGGAGGATTGGTAACGTCGTCTTCGCCGACGACGACGGCAACGACGGCTACGACGAGTGAGTATGAGTAGCTTCTGTACATACACGAGCGCAACATTTTCCTGTAAACGTGTCCCTCCCTCTTCTCTCTCTCTCTCTCTCTCTCTCTCTCTCTCTTTCTCTTTCTCTCGAGTATCGAGCTATCTACCAGCGATAATCTTCCTCGACAAATCCAATGCCTTGATAATAATTTCCTCTTCCATGTGAGAGCGAACTCGTACTTCAGTCGGTTGATAAAACGCACGTCCGTCGTTAGTTCGAAGCTAATTAGTTTGAGAGCTATCAGGAAGCGCTCGACGTCGAGCCATTCGATACTCTCTCTCTCTCTCTCACTCTCTTCCTACCCCTCATCTATCTCACTCTCTCTCTCTCTCTCTCTCTCTCTCCTCTCTCTCTCTCTATCTATCTATCTATCTCTCTTCCTGTTAGAATTGACTAGGCGCGAACCTATTGCGCGATTCGACGAAAGATAAACTTTTATATTTTCTCGTGGCCCGTTTCCACTATGATCGTCCTTCCGATCCCAGCAGCTTTATTTTCTTCTCGTCACTTCTCTCTCTCTCTCTCTCTCTCTCTCTCTCTCTCTCTCTCTCTCTCTCTACTCCTTCCCAAATCATTTTCCTGTCGATCTTTTTTGTTTATCCTCCACCGTACTTCTTATCACTATATCTACACTTCATATTTCACGAGTTTTATTTCCGCGTGACACCATCATAAATTAAATTAATTACCCATAACTAAATAGATATATAGGTAATTAATTTAATTTTATTGCTTCGAATATACGAAAAGTATTTTTTATTCCCTTTTAAATGTTATAGCACTGATATATATATATATATATATATATATATATATATATATATATACATAGATACATAAATACATACATATATATATACATATATGTTTCTCTCATTCTTCTTTCGACGTGAAATAATAATACGACGTCAACGAAGAATCGATACGATTTGACGATACCACGTCTTATTCCGCATCGCGAAGCGCATATCGATTTCTCTGAAAGTTCGAAAGGCCACGTGGAAAAAAGTCAGACCCGAAGAAGTCGATTATCGGACGGTAAGAGAGAGAGAAAGAGAGAAAGAGAAAAAGAGAGAGAAAGAGAGAAAGAGAAAAAGAGAGAAAAAGAGAGAAAGAGAGAGTGAGAGAGAGCCGAAGGAAAAGAGACAAAAAGGGACAAAAAGGATGACAGAGGGAAAGAAGAGGGAGAGAATAAAAAAAAAAAGAAAAGAAAAAAAAAGAAAAAGGAAAGAATAGGGAAAAAAAGGAAAGAAAACAGGGGGGAAAAAAAAGGGGAAGGAAGAAAAAGAAGAGAAGTGAAAAGGGGAGAGAAAAAAGAGAAAAAAGAGGAAAAAGAGAAAAGAAAAAAAGAAAAAAAGAAAAATTAAAAAGAGATCGTATCGATCTCATCTTTACCTCAACCTTTCCTTTTCTATTTTCACGTGGCTCGAAACCCAATAATGGGGGATTGTATCGATAATTTCACTCCCCCCCTCCCGCACCCACCCCATCCCCTCCAGTTATTCGATATGGATCTTTTAGGAACGAGACCCTTTGATATGGCGATCGAGCTAACTCTCTTTTTTCATTCTCTTTTCGTTTCCCCCCATCGGTCTACACCTATACCCGCCCATCCCCAACTTCCTCACCATCGACTCGCTCCTTTCATTTTTTTCTTTTCACATAACTGATGGATTTTTCGTTTGCCCTCTTCAATCTTCCCTAACCCCTTAACTCTTTCCTTACCCACTTCCCCTCACCTATCCAACACCACCCGCAGCATATTACATTTCTTTTCGTATCTCCAAACGTTTCTTATCGCGAAATTCAATCAAATTTTCTGCGACACATTTATCTCTAATTAAATAATAATTATTATAATAATAAGTCGCAGTAGGAAAAAGGAAAAAAAAAAGAAAAAAAAGAAAAAAAAAAAAAAA